CTCGCCGGTATGGTCGTGGTGGTGGGACAGCCCTGGCAAGGATCTCAGTACCCAGCCGGGACGGAGCAGGGATGGTACTCACATATTCAGTGTCAGCCTTGGAGTCATAGTACTCAATATCTTCCTCCTGCAGAGAAAAGGGAGAGCTGTGTTAGTGCTGGGCAGGGACAAAGATGGTGGAGGCATCCCTCCCCTTTAGTCGTCCCCTCAGCATCTCCATCATGCTGCTGGCAGCCACCACATTGCTGGGGACCAAAACTTGGCCACCCCTGGGACGGGGCCAGGACCCTACAACCCCTCCATCTGCCCCCCAAGGATTGGCCATAGCCTGCCATGCTTCCTTCCACTCATGGCTGCCTCTAAGCTGCAGCAGCATGGGGCCATGTGCAGCCTCCGTCACGGCCAAACAGCCCCACGAAGGTGCCACCAATGTCACCATGGCCTCTGCGCTGTCACTGGCTGTGAGGCTGCACTGTGTCCCTGCACCCAGGACATGTTGGTCCCATTGCAAACGTCAGGAGCCGCAGCAGAGCCCGGGACAGGCAGCGGGGCAGGCAGCGGCCGTGATGGGAGCTCCCCTCCCCACATGATACTAACAGGGAGAAGAGCGGCCTTGCTTCCACGGAGAAACACATGTTATTAATCTAGGGTAGTTAGAGCCTATTTAGGCAGAAAGGTCCGCTTGGATTCCTCTTCCCCACATGTCAGAACACAAGGCAGCTGATAAAATTCCTAAAGAGGCAATTCGGAGAGCAGCAATGCTGTCACAACAGCATTTCGTGCGCCATCAGAAGGGGTAATTAAAGGGCACTTGGAGACTCTTCTCCGCGTGCCGGGACGTGAGCACGATGCCGGCGCACCGACAGCCGTCGCGGTGTGAACATGTCTGCCACTCAATCAGCCGTCAGCAGCTGCTGTGCAATACCCACCCTCCTCCCGGCATGCACAGGCAGCGCTTTGGGATGATTATTCCCGTTATTATTTAATGAGGAAAGCGATCTGGGTCCAGAGCAGAAACCCAGCCAGAACCTTAATGGTGCTGACTGCAGCCCCATCCTCCCCATTCCT